AATATATCAGAAATTAAAGATTCCAACCAAGGAGAGCCTAATTCAGACCCCAGGTCTGAAATATGAAATAAACCAACTTCCAAAGATCAGATTCCCAAAGCCTTCTCTCATCTGGGGTGTTTCAGAGATCCAAGGAGTTTCAGGAACTCCAGGCAGTGCTTACACCCCAAATATATTGCAGATTTAGATTATAGTGCAGTGTGGAAGGGCCAGCCCTCAAATGTCCAAGTTCAGAGGGAACTCGAGGTCCCAAAGCAAGGCTCAAAAGAGGGGGGCAGAACTTAAGGTTCTAGGAATATGTGTAGGTGCAATAAAGGGGGATTAGGGAATGCCAAGGCAGACTGGTGGTCATGCCCAGCAATTAGGAGTGCTGGCACACCCCTGACCAGCCTGTCAGCTAAAAATTAGAGAGTTAAGACCTATTGAAGGTCAGGTTTAGCCCTGTACAGCAACTTGGATGCTGCCAGGCTATACCTCAGCTCAACACACCTAAGAGAACGGGGTATGGGAAATTGGAAGAGCCCAGGATCCAAAGGATCCAGTTTTAATCCATGGACAATAACTTTGTGTATTGTCATGTCTTAAACCACAACTCAAGCACATAAAGGGGTATGGGGAGTGGGATTCATTGCAGTAACAAATAGCAAGACATAAGCATACTATCATAGAAGTTGAATTTTACACAGCAGTAAAGTAGGCATAGACATAAAAACTTGTAAGTAAACACATTGGGGTTGATGCTAGAATCAAAACTAGGACATACCAGTTTCAGGAAAAACAAATGAAAGCAGAAGTCTTGAGAAATCCAAAGTGCAAAAAGTTTTAGAAGGGGTTGTGAGAATTAAGTGAAGCTCTAAAGTGTATTCCGTATTGTGAAAAGAAAAAGAGTCGAGTATTTATATCTTGGAAAACAGGTAGAGAGTAAGGGAAGAATCATAGTAATTATGGAACTATGTATCAATTATAATCAATCAACATAAGAACTTCCTTTAATTAAGGAGTTCAAACTCAAACGGTAATGGACAACAATCAGTTAAGGAAAGAGAATTAAGTAAACATCTTGTGTAAAATAGGAAATTAGGGGTAAATACATAGGGGTTTAACTAAGGAAAGAAAATTTTAAAATATACGGTTAGCCCAAATAAGGCAAGAACACAGTAAATCAATTAGTACCTAGTAAATCAAGGAATCAGGGATTCGACATTATCAATGAACCAAGTCAGAAAGAGAGGAAAGATTTTAACTTAAGGAAAACCAGTAACAATCAATTAGACCTATTAAAAGGGATTCTGAATCAATCACAAGTTGGAAAGCCCTTTTACAGAAAGGTTCATCACATATAAAAAGCATACAGACACGTTAAGTATGAAAGAAAAAAACTCATGAATAGCATGTAAATACAATAGAAGAGCTCAAAGCAACAGAGTAAAGAAACTAATTCGAAGCATGATGAGAAAAAACTAATAAGAACAGTAGAAGGAAGCATGCTTAAGAAGATCCTTTTAGAAGAGGTTTAAACAAAGTTCAGTAGAAGGAAAAAATAGTAAGAGCACTTAAGAACACGATAGGAGAATACAGTAGGTGAAACATACCAGAACATGGTAGAAGAAAATAGTAGAACATAGTAGAAAAGCATACAAGGACATAGTGTAGAAAACACAATAGCAGATCATACAAAAACGGAATATAGAAAGCACGGTATAGGAACATGCATGGTAGAAGGAAAACATAAGAACACAGTAGAGGCAAAAGAAAGTCAGATAAACACTTACATATTTTCAAAAAACCCTAGATGGTAAAAGAGGCTTCGGAAAGTAATTTTTTGAAAGAAAAGTTAGGGAAATAGTTTGAACACTCAAGTAAAGCATAAATACACAACAGATCTAAAAGAAAAATCGGGAAAACCTCAACGGGTTAGGGTTTCAGAAGAACTCTAGAAAAAGCTTTGAAAAGGTCACCATTCTGAGTCGGAGAGGTCAGAATCAGGCTCAAAACACCATGGTATGCCGGAGCAAGGACGGAGACGGCCGAAATCTTCGAATCGGTGAAGGTCTGAGTGAAGACCTTTGAGGCCTGGCCTTGAACCTTCGAGCATCATGCATGCAAGAGCCGGAGGAGGTGAGTATAGGCTGTCCATGGCCTGAGAAGCCATGGACTCCGGTGAAAACACGGTGGAACAAGGTAGGAGGAGGCTAGGGTTCCGAAGGAACTTGAGAGAGTTTTGGGATTCAGAGGCGGCATCATTGTGCAAATGGGGTTAGGGTTAGAGGGGTTAGGGGATTAAAAAAGGAAAGGGTGAATCGGGGCCGTTGATCAAAATGATCAACGACCAGGATTTAAAGAAAATCTGGACGGGTTTGAAAATGGGTTAAGGGGTCGGGTAAAAATAAGAATTGGGTCATACGAATTTGGGTTTGAAATTGTGTCACTTTTAGGCTAGAATTGAAATGTAATGGGGCTATAATTGAAATGAACTGAGGCCACATGTTAAATAGCCAGTTTTAACCTTTTTATTTATAGAAAATAGTAAAATGATTTTAAAAACAAATTAAAAGCACTGAGCTAATTAATAATATATAAACATTAATCTAAAAATGCTGGAAATGATTTTGTGATTGCAAAACGCTATTAATCGTAATATAGGCCATAATTGCAATTTTATGTAATTTAGCTTAAAAAATATCAAATGAATTTGTAAAAATATGCAAAAATTACGTTAATTATATTTTGGTGTAACTATGAGGATGTAAATAAATTATCCACCAAAATTATAATTTCGGAAATAATTATTGGATTTTGTACTGTTAAAATAGACAATAAATTGGTTTTGAAAATCTTTAAAAATTTGGAAAAAATACCAAAATACTTGGGCATGCTTATATATGCATACCCATACTATTTTGAAAGTATTTTGAGTATAAAAATATATAGAGAAAAATTGGGTATCAACAGGCATAGATGAGAAGACTAAGCCAGTTAATACTCCACTTGCTCCCCAGATTAAGCTAAGTACTACTATGTCGCCAAAAGATGAAGCTGAATAGGAGTATATGTGAAGGGTACCATACGCAAATGTTGTTAGCTTGATGTATGCAATGGTCTGTACAAGACCTGACATTTCAGAAGCTGTTGGAGTTATTAGCAGATATATGCATAATCCAGGAAAGGAGTATTGACAAGCTGTGAAGTGGATTCTACGGTATATTCATAATACTGTAGATGTTGGGTTAGTTTTTAAGTAGAAAGGCAATCAGTACGTATTTGGATATTGTGACTCAGATTTTGCAGGGGATCTAGACAAACGAAGATCAACTACTGGTTATGTGTTTACTTTTGCAAAGGCACCAGTTAATTGGAAGTCTACTTTGCAATCAACAGTTGCTTTGTCTACAACAGAGGCATAGTACATGACTATTATAGAAGCTGAAAAAGAGGCAATTTGGCTTCAGGGGTTGCTAAAAGAGCTTGGTATTGGACACAAAAGTATCACAGTTTTTTGTGATAGTCAAAGTGCTATTCAATTAGCAAAGAACCAAGTTTATCATGCAAGGACGAAGCACATTGATGTTTGGTATCATTTCGTCCGAGAAATCATAGAAGAAGGTGGAGTCACGGTGAAGAAAATTCATACTACGGGGAATCCTGCTGATATGCTGACAAAAGTGGTGACTGCGGTCAAGTTTCAACATTGTTTGGATTTGATCAACATTGTTGAACACTGAAGAAAGAAGATGAAGACACAACCAAAATTTGTTATTGAGAGAAAATTAAATATGTGGAATTTTTGTCAAGGTGGAGATTTGTTGATTGACAAAAGAAATTGTCCCACATCGGTGGATGATTTCCTTTGGGGGAAAATATTTCCCTATAAAAGGAGGCCTAATGTTTACGATTTAAACACACCTCTCATTTGCCTTCTTATCTTCTTAAGACATTTGTATCTTCTCTCTTTAGTATTATTTCACTTGTATTTTTGGAGTAAAATAAAATATTGGTTGTGTCCAAGGAAGTAGGCAAAATTGGCCGAACCTCATAAATTCTGGTGTTCCTTTTATAGTTGCTTTATTGTCTTATTTATTATTTAGTGGTTGTCATAATTTTTGGTATAGTAATTGTGACTCATTCACACTATATACATTTGGCTTCCGCAACAGGAACAACGGAGAAAGGAAAAGAGACTTGCTTCTTTTGGCTGAAAAGATTCAGCGCCTCAGGACAGAAATTTACCGTGACATCCAAGAGGAGGTACAATCCCTTTTGCCTAAGAATGATACATTGGGCCTTTTCGATTTCCTCATTGACAGCTTGAAGGAACGTCTTTACAGCCACTACGATTCACTTGCTTCTTTGAAGTACCAGCTTGAAGTGGTGTATGAGGAGCTTGAATCTCTCGCATAGCAGTACAAGGAATTGATAAGCGAGAGGAACTTTAAGGTTTTACTGCAAGACTCATTAATGAGGCATATGAGGTTGAGTACATAATTGGTTCTTTTGTAATGACAGAGATTCCTCGTACGTATCTAAAAATATGGCTCTCAGACATCATTAAGGAGATTAAGCTTATTAAGACAGAGCTGACAGAACTTGGGAAAATGAAGGAGGAGAAAACTGCTTCCCCTGCTGCCGGCAAATATCAATTGGTGGGTTTTAAGGATGTGAGGGAAACCATAAAAGGTCGACTACTTGGAGGATCACGAAATCTAGATGTTATCCTGATTATTGGTATGCCTGGAATTGTTAAGACGGCCTTGGCCCAAAGTTTTAAAGATGATAAAGCAATTGTCTCCCATTTTAGTTTTTTGGAGAGTGTCGTGTTTCTCAGGTTTACACACGAAGATACTTGCTACTTTCCATCTTGAATGATGTTAATGATGAGCGTACTTATCGTAGTGAAGATGGCGATTGTGAATTAGCTGCTAGACTAAAAAAAGCTTTATTCAAAATGGGAAGATACCTCTTAATCATTGATGACGTGTGGGAAACCAATGCATGGGATGATTTAAGGACATGATTTCCTGATACTGAAGGTAGCCGAATCATTCTGACTACCAGACACCAGATAGTTTCTAGTAACGCTAAATGCTTTACTGATCCATATCATCTGCGTATGCTAACTGGAGAAGAAAGTTGGTCATTATTACAAAGGAAGGCATTCGGGGAAGAAATCTGTCCAGACAAGCTAAAGGAAGTTGGGAAAGAGATTGCAAAAAAGTGTAAAGGGTTACCTCTTTCCATTGTTCTAGTTGGGGGTCTTCTCGCACGGATGGAGAAGAAAGAACAGTGCTGGAAGCAAATGGAATTGAGCTTAGGTGCAAAAGTCGAGGATGAATCAAAGGATTTAGTACAAGTAAGTTACAAAAATCTACCTCATAAGATGAAACCATGCTTTTTATATTTTGGAGCATTTTTAGAGAACAGGGAGATTTCGGTCTCAAAGTTCACAAACTTATGGATCGCCGAGGGACTCATAGAAAATGATAAGGAGAAGTCTCTGGAAGATATTGCAGAAGAGTACTTGGAGGATCTTGTTGGAAGAAACCTTGTTATTGTTACTAAGAGTATATACAACGGGAAGCTCAAAGATGCCTTGTACACGACATAGTGCTCACATTCTGCAAGGGAAAATCTGAGAAAGAGAATTTTTGTTGTGGCTAAAAAGGTATTTACCTCTTCCTATGTAGTACTATATCTCTCTACTTCTGTTTTTTACTATATCATTCCTCTGCGTGTCTCTTATATATCCCGCTTAATTTCTTAATTATCAGAGATCATTGTTATGTTGAGAAAGAGGCAAACCCGAAAATAAAGAAGATAAAAAACACAAATTTTAACGTGGAAAACCCTTCAAATCGAAGGTAAAAACTGCGGGATCACAAAGATCCAAAAAAGCCCCACTATAACAATAAGAAGGTTACAAAAGTTCTCCAAATTGGCTACACAACAAATGCCAAACACGAAGCAACAATAGCAACAACTAATCAATTGAAGAAAGAGTATAATCCACAAAAATGAAGCTGTTGTTCGAGACTTGAAATCAGATGTTACGAGCCTCCAAATTCGATCTCCACCGTTCAAATCCAAGACCTAGATGTTACGAATATTTAGTCAAAAGTTCAGCCCGAGTCAACGGTTAACGAATCTAAAAACGTGATTTGAATGTTGGCTGGTCGAAATAAAAATTTGCAGCAAAACAAATATTTTTCTTCTCTCTTCTCTCTTGACGAAAACTCTCTCAAAAATCACTCTTATGTGCTTAAGTATTTCAAAGACTTGTATCAATGAGCATAGAATAATTCTCCAAAGTTGTCCTCTTTATATATCATTAGTGGTGCTTTCTCTTAAAGCCAAAACCCACTCAAAATAGGAATAAACCGAATCCAATTCCAAATAGGAATGGAAACCAAAAAGAGAATAGGATTAGGCCATTGGGCCTTTGGCTGGACAACATGGGCATGTGCCCAACAAACTCCCCCTCCAGCCAAGGGGCCAAATGTGTCTTCAAGTAGAGGAACTATTGATAGGCTTCATGCCTGCCAATTTCTACAAAATTCATGTTTATCTGCAACCACCGCCTTTGTCAGCATATCCGAAGGATTTTCATCAGTGTGTATCTTCTCAACCTCAAATAATTTCTCTTCCACGACCATTCTTATCCAATGATACTTTCTATTTATATGTTTGGTCTTAGAATGAAAAGTGGAGTGCTTGGTGAGACAGATAGCACTGTGATTATCACAAAATAAGATGTACTTTGGCTGCTCAAAGCCAACATCATTAATAAACTCCTTCAACCATAATAGTTCTTTGGCACCTTCTGTGACAGCAATATATTCGGCTTCTATGGTGGATAGAGCTATGCACTTTTGTAGTCTAGATTGCCAAGAAATAGCCCCCTTGTGCAAAAGTGATCAAATAATCGGAAGTGGATCTTGAATTATCAAGATTGCCTCCTAAATCAAAGTCTGTGTAACAAACATGTTTAGGCTTGCCATTGCCAAAGCACAACTTCAAATCTGCAGTACTTTTCAAATACCTTAATATCTATTTTACTATATCCCAATGTTCTAGGATTAGAAAGGAATCTACTAACAGTACCAACGGCATGTGCAATATCTGGTCTAGTGCAAACCATAACATATATCAAGCTACCAACGGCAGAAGAGTAAGGAATACAAGACATCTTCTTTTTCTCTTCATCAGTAGATGGACTCTGAGTAATACTCAATTTGAAGTGTTTAGCAAGAGGAGTACTAACCACTTTTGCATCTGTCATATTGAATCTCTTGAGTACCTTCTCAATGTATTTCTTTTGGGACAAAAATAACTCCTTTCTATCTCTGTGTCGGTGGATTTGAATGCCCAAGATTTTCTTTGTTGGCCCCAAGTCCTTCATCGCAAACGATTTGCTCAATTGCTTCTTAAGGACTACAATTCTGGATTTATTCTTGCCAACAATAAGCATGTCATCCACATAAAGCAATAAAATAATAAAATCATCATCAGAGAACTTTTGGAAGAATACACAGGGGTCTGAAGAAGTTTTCTTGTACCATTGTTCTTCTATGACAGATTCAAACTTCAAATACCATTGCCTTGGAGCTTGTTTTAATCCATACAGGCTCTTTTTCAATTTGCAGACATAATTTTCTTTTCCCTTAGTTACAAAACCCTCAGGTTGCTCCATATAAATTTTCTCATCTAAATCACCATGAAGAAAAGCAGTCTTGACATCCATTTGCTCAACCTCTAAATCTAGACTTGCAGCTAAGCCTAGAACCACACGAATAGAAGACATATTCACAGCAGGGAGAAAATTTAATCAAAGTCAACTCCCTTCTTTTGGCCAAAACCTTTAACAACTAACCTCGCCTTGTATCTAGGTGCAGAGGTATGGTTATCTTAATTTATTCTGAATATCCATTTGTTAGATAAAGCTCTCTTACCTTTCGACAATTTCACTAACTCATATGTGCCATTCTCATGGAGTGACTTCATCTCATCTTCCATCACTTCGATCCACTGATCTCTGTGAGTATCTTACATGGCTTCATCATAATTCTCAGGTTCTCCCATGTCAGTCAAAAGTACATACTCATTAGGAGGATAGCGCATGAATTTTTGCTTCTCCCTTATAGATCTTCTAAGAGAGGTTTCAGGAGCATTCGAAGTAGTTACATATGCAGGAATTGGTTGCTGATCAACACAACTTCATCAACTGGAACATCCATAACATCTATACCATGATGATCATTTTGATCTTGATCACTATCTCCATCATTGTCTTGGGTTCCTTCATGTGCAATAGGTGTCTTAGCAATTGAAACTGGATCAATATCAACTAAGCTCTCATTACTCTAAGAATCTATCTTCTCAGCTTTGTCAATATCTTCAATAGTTTGGTCTTCAAATAATATTGCATCACGACTTCTGATAACTTTATTGTCAACTGGATCATAAAAACGATACCCAAACTCATCTTGACCATAATCGATAAAGATGCACTGCTTAGTTTTGACATCCAGTTTCGATCTCTCATCTTTAGGAACATGCACACAAGCTTTACACCCAAAAACTCTCAGGTGATCATAAGAAACATCTTTAGCAAACCAAACTCTGTCTGGGACATCACCATCCAATGCAATTGCATGAGACAAATTGATAACATAGGCAACAGTGTTAAGTGCTTCCGCCCAAATTGTATTTGGAAGTTTAGCCTCTGAAAGTAAGCATCTAACTCTCTCAACTAGAGTTCTATTCATCATCTCTGCCAAACCATTCAATTGAGGCGTCTTGGGCAGAGTTTTCTGATGACGAATTCCTTGTTCCTTGCAATAGTTATAAAAGAGACCACAATATTCACCACCATTATCAGTGCGAATACATTTTAATTTCTTCCCCGTCTGTCTCTCAGCTAAGGCCTGAAATTCCTTAAACATGCTAAGTGATTGATCTTTAGATTTCAAAGGATACACCCAGAGTTTATGAGAATGATCATCAATGAAGCTCACAAAGTAAAGTGCACCACCTTTTGACTTTACTTTAAAAGGACCACACAAATCAGAGTGTACTAGCTCCAATAAATCGGGCTTTCTTGAGGGAGGATGACTATGAAAGGAAACCTTTTTCTGTTTGCCAGCTAAACAATGGATACACCTTTTCAGCTTTGCTTATTTCACTCCAGAAAGCAAACTTTTCTTAGCCAAACACGTAATCCCCCTCTCTCTCATATGACTCAGTCATCGGTGCCACAATTCTGATAAAGTATCACTTTCCACCAGATTTATGGAGTCATTAAGAATAGAGCCTTGTGTCATATATGATTGACCAGACTAGACTCCTCAAGCCACTACTAACGAACCCTTGGTGAGCTTCCATTGGTCATTAAAGAGAGCATTATGATAACCTTCATCGTCTAATCTTCTTGCGGATATCAAATTGAAAGGAAAGTCTGGAGCATGCTTGACATCTTGAAGAACTAACATTGAACCATTATTAGTTTTCAAACAAACTATGCCAACACTAAGCACCTTAACTTCACTGGCATTGCCTATTTTTAACACTCCAGAATCAACACGAGTATAAGATGAGAAAAAATCTTTTCTTGGTGTGACATGTGTGGTAGCTCCAGAATCTACTATCCAGCTCGTCTCATGGGATACCAAATTGATGACGTTTTCATCATAAGCAAAAAGAAGGTCATCTCGAACAATAGTAGCAACATTGTTCTCATTATTTTCAGCTTTCTTTCCTTCTCTAGTGTATTGATTCAACTTGCGGCAAAACCTTTTGATGTGTCCTTTCTTACCACAGTGGTTGCATGTAATATTATAGTATTTGGACCTTGACTTACTTTTACTTTTACCTCTATTCCTTGAACCTTTTGTTCTATCTCTCCCCCGGTCTTCTGTAACCAAGATATCTGCTTATGAGGATGAACCCTGAGATTTTCTCCTTATTTCCTCGTTCAACACACCACTTTTGGCATATTCCATGGTCACCTTACCTCCATGAGCTGAATTTGTCAAAGAAACACGAAGAGTTTCCCAACAGTTTGGCAGAGTATTAAGAAGCCAAAGTTCTTGTTTCCCATCATCAAAATTAACTCCCATTCCAGATAGCTGATCAAGGACACCCTGAAAATCATTTATGTGATCAAGGATAGGTTTGTCTTCCTTGTATTTAAAGGTCATCAATTGCTTTATCAGAAACAATTTGTTGTTCCCGGTTTTTGAAGCATAAAGAGTCTCTAGCTTTTCCCACAATGATCTCGCATGTGTCTCATTCACAATATGGTTGCGAACATTATCTTCAACCCATTGTCGTATATATCCACATACTTGTTGGTGCTCGAAATCCCAATCTTCATTATATATACTCTCGGGTTTATGAGCTAAAAACGGGTAGATGCATCTTCTTCACGAACAACAAGTCTTTCATCTTGCTTCTCCAAATATTATAATTTCTTCCATTTAAACATATCATCTTGCTCATATTGCCTCCATTCTGTAACAATCCAGATAAATAACTAAGGCTCTGATACCACTGTTATTACGAGGACGAGGCAAACCCGAAAATAAAAAAGATAAAGAACACCAAATTTTA